CTTCAGCACGATATCCAAAATGTAAATAAAAGTTTGACATGAGTTGGGTTTTAAGTTAGAGGTGTATCAGACTGCTTTTCATCTTCTATGTTTTGTATTAAACAATTAGAGCTGAAGGCATACTAAGAAATAATACAATGTATTCTCTAATCTTTATTCACCTTCTTAAATGTTATGTCTCTCCAGAGCAAGTATCCAGATCGGGTCCAGTACAAGCTGCCCGTGGAAGGGAAACCTGTACATTTATACCTCGAGAAGACTGAGTGAGTGACATCACTGTCCTACATTAATATATTTGCGATGCTTTACATATATGTAGGCTAGTAACCATGTGTCCCGTTTTTTTAAATGGGACAGTACCGTTATTTCTTCTTGTTCTTCCCCTGTCCCGTCGTTTCTTTAAAAAAATCTATTTTGTCCCGTTTTCCTTCTTAGGAGTGTGCTCTGAGTCTGTGTGCCCCCTTAATGAGACTGGCCTGCCACATTGATATAAATGGTAAGATGATCGCAATTGCAGCCAGCCTTCACGTCTACATCTGTGCGGCTAGCCGGTCTCATTAAGGAGGTGCAACAGAAGTCTCTGCCGGCGTGCATTCTTCCTCTGTGGCAGCACTGACTGGGAGGAATTTGCGCACAGAGCGCACTCCTAAGAATATGTAACTGAACTGCCTCTCAGTCAGTGCTGTCGCAGAGGAAGAATAAGCGCCGGCGGGAAATTTAGGCAGCCATTTTATATGATCAACAGCAGATCTTTTATCTCAGCAGGACAGTGCTCCAGAGTGTTAAGAAATCTCAAGGTTAATGGTCATAATTCTCTGCTCCTCAGGCTGAAACAATGGAAGGCTATGAGGCAGTATAGGAAGGGGTAAAGGTGCAGAAAGAATGCAAGGGCGATTTATGCATGCATGTAATATTTCCAAAGTAGGGCAATGGTGGTGAAATACAGCCCCCCTCTACGTCTACCTACATTTTTGTATGAGTTCTGTCACTGAAGAATAATTGTTGAGATGTGCATTTGGATCCCTTTATACCCGAATATTCGGGTATATAGTAATGCGTTGTATGGGAGCCGCCATCTTGGTGCATCTGACATCACATAAGAAGACCCACCACCCTCTTTGGTGCACCAAGATGGCGACCATTGTTTCTATGCGCATGCGTGCGTATGGACACGCCAGCGGGCAATATGGCCGCCGCACGTTTTTTTTTTAATTTCAATGTGCAGATTCAGAGACTTGTTGCTCGCCTCAGGATGCCCCTGCTGCAGGAACTTAATATATAAGGCCTTGAGGAAAGAAGGGAAAGGGAGACCAGACCAAAACCTTTAAATACATAAAGGGTTCAGGAGGGCAATATTTTCAATGTAAACATGAGAATAGAATCACTGGGACATAATCTCAAATTAGCAGGAGGAAGACTTAAAACTAACCTTTTAAAAGTTTTTTTTTTTTACCAAAAGAGTGGTTAATGCTTGGAACAGACTTCCAGCAGAGGTAGCGAGTCGTTCAACAGCATATGTATTTAAACATGCTTGAGACAAACGTAGATCTATACTCAGACAAGAGTTTTATACAGAAAAAAGAAATTACAAAACAGTATAAAATTAATATAAATAGGCAGACTTGATGGACCACTTAGTCTTTTTCTGCCATCACTCTCTTTTTTTTTAACCTGTCTTGCCAGTGGCTGTAATGTATGTGCAAAGCTGGGAAACCAATGCCGGGAAAGCTGGGAAATCCAATGCTAGGAAAGCTGGGAAAAGCAACAAAGTCCAAGGCCAGGTTTTTGGCACTGCAGCCAGAAGGCACACGTCGGTGCCAAAACCAACACTACTGTGCTGGGATGAACTCTCTCACATTTTACTTTATTGATCTGTAAGAAAGGATCTAATGATCATGTGTACAATGAGATATCTGTATTTCTACTAATGATTGTGGGGGCAGGGTGATTGGGGGGGCCGGGGGGGGGGGCACTGACCACTATACATGGAAACGCCCTCTCTTTTCCACTGCTGTCCATAGATCAGACCTGCTAATAGTAAATCCGACCTTAATTAAGAAGAATTTCAGATCACTGGATTAATGCCAGATCAAAAAATGTACCCATGGGTATACAGTGTGACGCTTATAGAATCGATCCATTACACCTGCATCAGATAACAGATGGGGTTGGAGAAGGGTGAGTCAATGACTCAGGAAGAAAAAAAATTAACTTAACGTTAACTTGTTCTAAAAGGAAATGGAAAATCCAAACCCATACAACCACCCTGGGCTTACACTCTTTTATGTCCACTCCCCTTGCTGCCCCAATCCTGGCATAATGTCCCACAAAATAAGGACAGTACCTCTGTATTGATAACTGCACAATCTATGGCATGCCCCTGCCTTATGTGACAATGCTGAGTGGTTGGTGGTTGGTAGGCTGGCTGGCAGCCCCCAAAAGCTTCATTGTTGGAAGGCAAAGGATGTGTCACTTACTCCACCATTAGGAACCAGAGGTCTTGCTGCACTCCTTACCGGAACATCTAAGGACCCGTGAAGACGGGTGGGTGCTTGTAGTGACCACGGGTGGCACCGTGAGAAACTCGAATGAAGAAATAGTCACCAGCACTCCAAATGGTAATTTAGCAATATTCCATTTATTGACACATTGCCGTTCTATGCAAGCGCTTTCGGGACCTCAAGGGGTCCCCTTCATCAAGCTCAAATGTCATTCTGAGCCCTATGAAGGGGACCCCTTGAGGTCCCGAAAGGGCTTGCATAGAATGGCAATGTGTCAATAAATGGACTATTGCTAAATTACCATTTGGAGTGCTGGTGACTTTATTTCTTCATTTGACTCCACCATGTCTGGAAGTACTGGGTGGAAGAACAGATCAAACTCTGGTAGGCAGAGAGACCATGTGATTTTTGCCTAGGCTTTAGGTCACACAAAGAAGCAACTGAGCATTTTATTTTAATTCAGAAAAAAAGAGACAAAATATTACTAAGAATAATACAGGGTTTCAAAGTACTGATGTATTCTGTTGATTTTGTGATCTTTAATAATAGGTCCACTTTAAAGAGCAATTCCACTTTTGTTGCTAATCCTCTCTGGGTGATTTGTGTACATTGGAAGGATTTTAGCAAACTCTGTTCTGAAGAAAGCACTGTTTGTTGCAGCATGTCCTTTCCAGACTGATCCCTGACTGGGAGGGTCTGGGTTCATTATAACCAGCTGGTGGACTTTCTGTGTTGTAATGAGAAAAGGTGCAGTGTCGGCATCCCTTTAGTAGTAATGAACCTTTAAGGTGCCCATACACCTGCCGATTTATCAAACGATAATCGTGGGAAATGCCGCACGGGCCGATGTGCGCAAGCGCACACTGCCCGTTCAGCATTTCAGTTATCGGAAGCCCGCACCTCAGCGGGGCGGGCTTGCGATCATCGCAAGTACGATCTGCCTGTCCAAGAAGGGACAGATCGTACGTTTTTTAAATTACCATACAACCATCGCAAGACGAAAGTCTTGCGATGGTTGTAAGGTGTATGGCCAGCTTTAGGGAGTATCTCACCATCAACAAAATTCCTATTGCAAGAGATGGCAAAAATGATACTTGTATCTTAGTACAGACTTCTGGGAAAATCAGTCAACCAATCACAGAAGCAGGAAGTGACATTTTGGAGGCATTCCATATTGCATTCAATTTTTTTTATATATGCTTATTATTTTTTTATTATTTTTTCCATTTTTATATTTTTAAAGTGCAGTTACCCTTTTAAATATGTATAAATAAGATTGTGGCACAGACTCTACAGATTAGTTTTTTTTTTTATTAGTCATACATTGCAGACTGAGGTTAATGGGGGAATAGTAAATATTTGTATTAATAATAAGGGATGGCATTGCTAAAAATGGGACATCTGGTAACCCTAACCAGCACAGTGGTAGAATTGGCTCTGTATCAATGGAAACATAGTACACTGCATGCATTCAGTGTGTCAGTGACTTGTTACAGGAATACATACCAAATCTGCTGTGACGGGAATTTTTTTTAATTATTACCTGCTTAATATACTGTCCTCTGGTTATATTCTGTACTTCCTTGTTACATTGTTTCTATCAAGTTATTAAACCTTAATTATAAACAGAATGCTGCTTAATTAAAAAATGCCCGTCTGAGAAATAATAATGGATGGTAATAACAGATCAAAAAATCTTCCAATTTCCTGTAACCCTGGGAAATTTTGGGTCATGTGACTCTTAGCATTGGCTGTGTGGTGTCTGCCAGTAGGGTGGAGCAAGGTTCAGGTAGAGCCACTAACAGGGCGGCTCTGCCTGAATTCTGCTTGCCCAAGCACTCCATAACCAGTGAAGATTTCAAACAAGGGGGAAGGAGGGGAAGATTTCCAATGTTTAAAGGAGAAAAGGTGAGTTTTTAAATCCTTAAAGTGACATTAAAGGTTAAATAATGCCTTAATCGGATCATCTTCTTCTTTTTCACTGTCCTTTTTCAGCTGTGCCTCCAGCGCTGGTGCGGGTCTCCGATCCAGCGCTGACTCCTCTGTCCTCCTCTCCTTTGACGTCCCACAGGGTCTGTGCGAGTGCATTCTGTTCCATAGACTTACCTTGTGTCTCTCCTCGTCTCCCGGCCGAACATCTGAACTGCGCATGTGCCCGCCCCAAGATCCTTTGCGGCCGCCCGAGACTCTTTACAAAGCAGCTTGAAGTGGGATCACTGCTCTCTGTGCGGAAGCCATAATCCATTTGAACCTATGTAGAGAGACCACTACTTCCCCACAGGGAGTACAGGTCCCACTCTGCAGCTGCTGGCAGAGAGACATTTGTATTCAGGCCGTGGCTGGTTTAGAAAGTAAATGAGCTGTAAGATATTAAACCCCTTCGTCTTGGTGCTTCTAAAATGCATTTAGCTAAATGGAACTTAGATGTCGGCATCCCGGTCAATTAGCATCGAGCCGGGGGGCGTGGCCTGCATCTCGAGGAGAATGGCCGCACACTTTTTGCTCGATCCTTGACCAGCTTTGAGCAGGCATGTCTGGGCAAGGGACCCTCCCGACACCTCATTTCCTGGACCTACGGCCTACTACGTCCATCTACCCCAGCCAGATCTGACACCCTGAGAGCCACCTGGGAGAGGGAACTGGACCAAGACATTCAGACGGATGACTGGGAATCGATATGCACTGGGGCCCACAAAAGCTCAGTGAGTTGTAGGACCCAAGAAACCAACTTTTCTTGGGTCCTACAACTTTTCTTGGGTCCT